TGGAGGGAAGTAGAAAGAGAGGAAGGCCACCTGCTAGATGGATGGACTCAATAAAGGTCACGGGTATTAAGGGGTTGCAGGAATTAAGCAGAGCAGTGAAGGACAGAGGGTCATGGAGATGTCTCATCCATATGGTCACCATGAGTCGAGATCGACTTGAGGGCAGTTAACAACAAAACTCCAGCTACAACTTAAGCCTGGAGCCAGCCCACTGATACCAGTTCAGCTGTGTGTATCTTGTGCCTAACAACTAGTGGTTCAGGGAATGTGCACCTCCTTTTGCAACAAAATAAAACACATTGAACTAGTACAGTGAGAACTAGATTAGTATTGCAGTGCAAATGTAGAGGTTTGTCTAGAATCTGTGTAGTAAAGAAATGCACCATCTGTCTATTTTGGACATCAATTTTAAATGACTTTTCATTCACCAGTTCTCTGACCCATATTGTGTTACCAGTCATCTGCCTATCCCTTGCTTGTGAAGTTCCATTTTGAGGAAAGAGTAATTTGACAATACACATTCCATTCCATTGATCATCCCTCCAGAAGAAGCTTGTTTGAAAAGGGCAGGTACCACTGGAGTTTGTTTGCTGGGCTTCTGTCCTTTTTTAATTCAGCAGAAGTAACACAACACATTTTGAAGGAGTAGTGGTTTCCAGTCTTAACAGTGAATTCAGGGGAGAAACCCTGAATTGCCTTTACTGTGCTGCTTTCTAGAAGATTTGTGTTGTGAATAGAAATAAACAAAAAAAGGCAAGGTACTATGGTACAATGCTAATGAGGCTGATATAATGATCTTAGGTAAGTATTGTCACTTCACTGCAGTGATAAGGAAACACTGCTCCCATGGAGAATAAAGATAAATTGAGTTTCTTCCCTAGCAGAAGTGTGATGATCCTGCCCAAGTCAACTGAGATTTAAAAAACAGATCTGTCTGGAGCAAAGACAAACTTCATTGCCATTAGTTGTCTAGCACTGATCAACCCTCAAGAGTAGTATTTTTCCACTGCATACTGAATAGTCTATAAAATACAGAATGAATACTTGAGTAGTGTGTAGACATATTTTTTTATTTTATTTTGCATTTCAGTGAAAATGTAATACCATGCTTCCATAAATGCCATTATCTTCTCAAAAGTAATAGCATAGTTTATTCTTCAAAGCTCTGCAATAAAGCTGTTTGTTAAAATATTTAATTTGATCAGAAGCTGCTGTGCATAATCTAAGCTTTATGAGCCAAATTATAGATCAGCAGAGAACAGTCATAACTTCCCTTTCCCATCCACAGTCCACAAGATGGAACTGATCAGCCACGCATACTCAATAAGCCTATTCCTGGACCAAAACGTTGCACAACATATTTCTGGTCAGCTTATGATGTCATGGAAGGTAGTACACATTTGCACCTCATCAGTCCAGATTAGATGTTACCACTTCCTTTGGATCTCTATATTTGCCCATTGCTGTGGTTAGGAGCACAGGGATCTGGTATTCTAATGAAATTGCTAATAGTGGAGAAACCTCCTCTGAAAAACAGTTTGCCCAGTTGCAGCAATGTGCCACAACAGATGAATATTGGATGTGATTTCTGCCAAATTTGTGATGTGCTGCTACTTGAAGCAAAGGAGAAGATGTCTCTCACACACACCCCACCCATTCCATGTAGAGAAGTGATCTTGATTGGCAGCTGAACCTTGCTTCAATATCACTGGTGATTGAACATGCCTCTGCGGGCAAAAGGCTAGTTTATGGGACTTGTACAGGCCTCCTGGTACATACTGCTCTATCCTCTGTAGAGTTGCCAGATTGAAAACTGGAGATGACTCCTGAATCTTTAATGGTTGTATAGAAGAGGGAATATATGTATGTATCGGATTTGTATCTTCCCTTTCTCCCAAAATAGGATCCAAGGCAGCTATTTCATGAGGTGTTGCTTTGCCATGCAGTATCTGGTGAAATTTTCTCTTCTACACAACCATAAAAAGTGCAGAAGCGGTCTTCAGTTTTCATTCTGGCAACCTTGGTTTTCCAATAGATGGGAATGGCCAGGGACTCAAGTGGACAAGCTGGTGGGAGATTGTTTTTAACTCTGCCCTTGTTTTTAACTCTGCCCCCCAATTTCTGTTGCACGAGGTAGTTGCCTCATTATGCATAATGGTAGGGCCATCTTGAACAGTACCCTTCACAAGCAGACTATTCCTTAAAGCACTCATAAAATCCTCTGCAATGTGCAAGGAGTCTGTCACAGACACAAATAGGTCAAAGTTGTGAAGATAATGACATTGTACAACAAGTGATTTTATGAGGTGTGCATAAATCAGATTGGGATGATCTATCACTTTGAACCAGATAGTGTTGGACCATAGTAAGGACCTATCTTCATGTATTGCAGGGGTGGGCATGCTCTGGAGGCCAAACAGATATTCCTGCCAATTTGCAGTGCCTCTAGAGCTCCAGAGGGTCACAACTGACCCTCATAGCTGTCATTATTATGACCAGAATTATTGTCACATCAGTCCCAATCACATTTTGAGAGCTGTGGGAGTGAGAGTTCCTATTACAGGATGAAGCTGCAGATTTTAGCATTTTAAATGTTTTAAATAGTTTTTCTGCACACACACACACAAAAACAGTATGTGCATGAAATGTTTGGGAGGTGCTGCAGATTTGTGGGAGTCAGGAGGGTCCCAAGAGCGGCAATGAACCCCCTGCTTTGGACCACATGTACAGTTCTCATCCAAGGCAGAGGCACAAGAATCCAAGACAGTTAAAAATTATTATTTTAAAAATCTAAAGATGCAAAAATAATCAAAATTCATATAATAATTCAATCACTAAAACCATTAAAAAACACTTACTACATGGATCTGATTAGCCTTGTCCACAGTGTAGCACCCTCAGCAAAGAGTATGTGCAGTTTAGCATATGGCCAGCCTTAAATATTTTGCTGCTTGAGGTGAAGAGAAAGATTGTGCCTCCCTTTGTATTCCATGTACAGAAGCCAGCTGGCTGGGCAGTTCAAGGCAGCTAAATCAGACTTCGGTGCTGGCAGTGGGAGAGTCCACCATTACACAAGAGGCATGAGGCTACTTTAGGACCCCTTCACAAGATATTCAGTAAGAGGAAACAGATGTGGAGAACAGCTGGGAGGCTGCCATTGCTCTCCCTTCTCTGAACTGATTGACTTTCCCTGCCTAAATATTAGTAGAACCAGTTTGGTGCAGTGATTTTAGCGTTAGATTACAGCTCTGAAGACCAGGGTTCAAATCCCTGCTCAGCCATAGAAACACTGTGGACGACCTTGGGCAAGTCACAATCTCTCAGCCTCAGTGGAAGGTAAAAGCCTCTGGAACAAATATTACCAACAAAAAAAAAAACCTGTGGTAGGGTCACCTTAGGATTGTCATAAGTCATCAACCATCTGAAGGCACACAACAATAGCATCCTAATGTTGGAGCCTTGCATAACAACACATGGCCTGTGTACTGATTAATCGAGTTGCCATTGACACCAAGGATGCAGTGAAACATGCATCAAAAATCCTTAGTTAAGGTAGAAAGTGAATCCTTTATCAGCAGTTTCTCACATCTTTTCTACCTGATATTCGGAAAGGGACCAAATTAATCTCATCCAGGGATGAATCGATCAAACTTGTGTCACTTTTGGACCAACTCAAGGAACATCTGTGGCAATAATTTCTTTTCAAGCTACTATTGGGAGTGGGTTTCATGGGCCAGGAGCTCCAGGACTGGGACCTGGAGGAAGAGTCTGATGAGGAGGCTGAGGAACGGACCCAGGCAAGTCTTCCAGACAGAGAACAGTCTGTTCCCTATTGCAGAGCAGCCAACTCTCCTTGCTGAAGAGCCTCAGCCAGTTCATCCTGTTGAACTGCAGGCTCAGCCAGCAGGACACAGGCAAAACTCACCTGCTGGTGAGGCAGAGGACATAGCTGTGGTCTTAAGTCCTCAATCAAGAAGGGAGAAACATGTAGAGCAGCAACAAGCAAGCTTTAATTAGGAGTGGCTGGTATCAAGCCATTTAAGGGCTGAGTCTGCCTAAGGACCTTATCCCACGCTGCTCTCAAAAGTGGCAAGAAAGCGATATGAGCATCATTGCAGTACTATAGCGCTAGTATAAATATGGCGCTAGCGCTATAATAGCGCTATGGATAAGCTAGCGCTATTGCAATGCCCGCTGAAACCGACATTCAAAAGAACCCGAATGATGCTGCATTCCGAGCGGTTTCTTGTTGGATTCTGAGCGACGTCGTGTAATCACCCAGAAAACTATAGCGCTATAGCGCCTGATTCTTAGCGGATTCTGAGCGACGTCGTGTGATCACCCGGAAAACTATAGCGCTATAGCGCCTGATTCTTAGCCGATTCTGAGCGACGTCGTGTGATCACCCGGGAATGTATAGCGCTATAGCGCCTGATTCTTAGTGGATTCGTGCTGCTTTTGGCCCCGTGGGATAAGGTCCTAAGACTAGTGCTGGAGGCAGCTCATCTTTCCTGGCTAGCTTTCCTGATACCTGTTTCCAGACGCCTGCATTTCATACTTTGGACTTCTTGGTTTCTTTGACCCATTGAACTTGATTCCTGTGGTTTCCCTTGACTTGGACTGCTTAACCAACACCTTTCTCTTAATGGATTCCCACAGGCAAGAATGCTTTCTAGCTGTTTGTAATTCACCACCTCTGCCTGCATTATCAATGGATGGTTCCCTCCCAGCCAGCCTATGTAGCTGTTTGGGGAATCAGGACAGTTGGCGTTTTGCCACAACCCCCCCCCCCCTTGATCAGGTTTCATTGTGACCCTCTTAAGAAAACAAGCTTCTGGCCCTGAATATAGACTAATTCAAGACCACTAAATGTCCACAGATGAACACCATCTGGAACACAAGCAAAGAATAAGAGCGCATGAAAGACACATAGAATCATAGAGTTGGAAGAGACCCCAAGGGCCATCCAGTCCAACCCCATTCTGCCATGCAGGAACTCAAAGTCAAAGCCTCCCCGACAGATAGCTATCCAGCCTTTGTTTAAAGACCTCCAAAGAAGGAGACTCCACCAAACTCTGAGGGAGAGTGTTCCACTGTCGAACAGCTCTCACTGTCAGGAAGTGCCTCCTAATATTAAGGTGGAATCTCTTTTCCTGCAGCTTGCATCCATTGTTACTACCAGTAACTTTGTGACAATCAACATATCCCTCTCAAACCAATTTGAATGGTGGCAACCGTTTGGCACAACCCTGCTGATGTTGTATATTACATCAATCTTTTAATTCTGCTTTATCATTAAGATCTTCAGGAGACTTAGAATCTAATAGTAATGTTGTTGTCATTGTGTGCCTTGGAGTTGTTTCCAGCTTAAGGCAACCTTAAGGGAACATTTTATGGGATTTCCTTGGCAAGATTTGTTCAGAGGTTTACCATTGCTTTCCCCTGAGGCTGAAAGTATGTGACTTGCCCAAGGTCACCTAGTGGGTTTCTTGTCTAAGCTTGGAACCAAACCCTGGTCTCCAGAGTTGTAGTCCAACACTCTAACTACTGTGCCACTAATAACCATATGAAAGTAAGGCAGCAAGACTACTTTCTTTCTTTAGTACAAGCAACACAATCAGGATTCAGCTATGATGCCACAGTTGAAAGAATGCTGTAATTCCATTATCTTAATCTGGGTAGATGGGTGGATCGATGGTTGGATAGATAGACAGACAACTTGTTATAATGTTATCTACATTAAAGCTGTTACCAACATTTACATCACATTCCAATATGACCAAGAATAAAAATTATAGCACAAGAAGAAGAATATCTCCAGGTGCATTCTTTTAGTTCCTTCCATTAATGTGAATTGTTGCATTCAATTGTGTAAGAAGAAAGTGCTTGCGATCAGTGTTTTCCAAATGGAAATTTGTCTTCCATGGGTCATCCAGTCCTCACTTACAAGAATAACACAAAGATGTTAAACAGATCTCTGCAGACACGCACTGCATACAGTGCAACGGTGCTACTTTCTGGTACTCAGTGACCTGCAAAGGAAAACACATTACTAACATATTGCAATTTATATGCAGATTTTGCTCCTTACACAGGGACTTTCGGGAATTCCTTTTCAGATAAATTGTTAATAGAAAAGCAGATTGTAATTCAATAGTTCATTTTACTTCTGTTTTAGTTTATCGATCTGCATTTTCTATAATTTTATAATGCACAAGTTCCCCCATGAGGAAAATTGAAATTTTGCATCCATTTTCATAAAACTTTTAATTAAATATTTTTTCTTATATTTTAATACTGAAACTTGCAATATCTTAAAATATTCCCAATGCAGAGGTGGGCAGCGACAGGAGGTCAAGGGTCCCACTTTCCAGATTAGACAAGATCTCAAGGGTTGCACTTTTGTTGTCTGTCTGCCCGCCTGCTGTTGGGACAATGGATTTGAAAAGAGACAAAATGAGACTAAGGTACTATAAATAAAACTTTATCTTGAAATGTTTAATGTTTAAAAGGCTAATAAACAATATATGTAACAATCATACAAAACCCATATATCCAATAGATACAAAGTAAACCATAGTAGTAATGGCAAACATAATCACAA